TGTGGTACTAAGAGATCTAAAATAATTGGCTATTTCTCTCCACTCTTACCTCCCAGTATTCTATTTATGTTAATTTAAAACTTGAAATTATTATTGGGATTTCATGTTAATTTTCATCTTAATCTGTTCTGGTTCTAGCTATAGATAAAACTGAGACCTCAGATAACCCTTTAAGTTCAGGGTCACATCAATCACCAACAGCCCAATGCAAATTTGTGCTTTGTCCAGAGAGACAGCAATAAATAACTTCTGTGCTCATCTATGGCAACAGATTTTAACCAAAGACTATGTCAAGGCTGTTCTCCACCCTTCCACTGCTTAAAAGCTTCTGCTTAAAAAAAGAAAAACTCTCCAAGGTCACAGATTCCTGATCTTGGATGGTATGCTGCCACCACTCAAATGTGAAAACCTCTTTGAGAAGCCAAGAAGATGCACATGGGAATTTCCTCCTGTGGGGCACCCTCAAGCTCTTTAACCCTCCTTTAGGAGAGATCTTGAAAACAAACTGTTTCCTAATAGCTGACCCAGAAATTTTAGACACGCGCACACACAATCTCCTGCTTTCTAGAACACAGGAATTAGATCATAGTCTTAAAAAGATGATTTTAGTAACAAAACAAAAGACATACTTGGTAAAGCATTACTTGGTTGTTAGGTGTTACAGAGCAACTGAAAAAGACAATATTAAAATAGAGAATTGCTTTCACAGTTAAAAATTACTGTGTATGAGGGAAGGAGGTACTTGGGTTCAGCACAGAGGAGTCCAATAAACCTAAAAATAAAGAAAATAACCTGATCACATCTAACTAAACATTCCCTGTTCTACTCTCACGTCTGTTGTTCCAAGGTTTAGTCCTTCTCTAGACATGGATATTGCTGGAAGTTCCATGCCTTGTTCATGACTTAACTCATCTCTCTCAGCTCGGCTCTTACCACACAAAGACCTCAGCAAGGTGGTCCTGCTTTTCAATTCATAAACCCACACTTTGTTTTCATTGGCTCTCCTAGCTCCCTGCCAATTCTTCCTGAAGACTCTCTAGGACCCACTGTTTGTGGGTTTCTTACAGGCAATTTAGTTAACTGAATGGCTGGGATGTTCACAAAAGGACATACCCTCCCACTCATCAAAGACCAGTATTGCCATTTTCATACATGTCTCTCTTTGCTGTTCCATCCACTCTAGGAATGGGATTCCATGGATAAATGTGGTTCTAAAAATAGCATTTTGGAGCTTGGTTTATTTTAATTCAGTAATTCTGTATCTCCAGTGGTTGGTCAGTTAAGAAAAAACCTGGTGTTTTCAAACTGCTAGTGCAACAAACTAAACCTGAGATCTGAGGATCAAGCTGGGTTCTTTCCTTTTCATGCATCACCAACTATCATAAAGATACGTGAGGCCAAATCAGGTGCTCTGTTTTATTCATGCAGTCATAGAAGCTTTGAACAGGTGTAATTGACTGACCTTCCCAGTAATACTGCTGATGCACAGAAGGGAAGGAGTTCATACCTGTTTTAGTCACTATAGTAAATCAGATATGACTGAGTGCACACAGGGAGCAGAGCTGATTATTAAGGAGATACTGTTTTTACCGACCTACTTTTGGGAGTAGAATTGCACTCCACAAAGCTATCATTTCTTTTATAACATCTTATACTTTAGGCCGGATAGTGATCTGATTTGGGTATACGTGTTGCAGTGACCTCTGCTGGAGCAAGCAGACGTGTTCAGAGAACCAGATTAAGAAAATTCTGAGAAACATACTGTTTCTAATTGATACTGCACTTGTGATGTATATGTTTAAAAACTATGGCGAGTAAACATAAGAAGTCATTACATGAGGTTTATGAAGCTAAAGTTTGTGAGGCAGTATTATGATGTGGGGAAACAATGTCTCTGTCTTCAAGGTTCCAACATCTAGTAACTAAAAGTAATACAGGTTGAATTACTTTATCCCCCTATTCTTCAGTTACTAACTTGCTCCCTTTTTACAGGCTCCTCCTCAGCAGGGCTAGCTAGAAAACATTCCTTTTTAAAAATGATAGATTTGTCTGAGAAACTTCCAGTTTCTACAGTATTTTCTCTGCTCCCCTTATTTTTTTTCCACTTAACCTTCTTCATATCCAACTCATGGTGGTAGAATCCATCATGCATGCATGAGAAATAGGAATTCTCAGCCTGGATTTGAAAAAAGGAATACTCATAATTTCATTTCAGGCAAAGAATAAGGGCCCTGATTTGGTGTCTATTGAAGTCAGTGGTAAAGAGTTAAGTGACCAGTGGTGCAGGATCATACCCCAAAAGAGCAGCTTTAATTCCATTTTCAGTCCATTAGCATCTGAAGATGTTTGAAAAACACAGTGGTGCAATTGCAGGCTAGTGCTAACAAGTGTGAATACAAGAACAATGCCTAGTTACCCATTAACTGCAGTTTTATTGATATTATTGTTAATTCTGTTTTTGTAATGCCATGATCCTATTTGCACAGCAGCAATCTGATTGGGTGAAGGGAGGGGCCTAACTTCAATTTAAACACATAAGAGCATTTAAGAAGATGATTAATAGCTTTTGCGAAATGTATTATCTGGATTAGATGTGCAGCTGAGAGAGATCTGAAATTCACCTTTTAAAATTGTAAATGGTTTGCTTAATTACAGGCAAGGATTTTTTTTAAACCCAGCTATTTTCTATAGTCTCTCCTACAGACTGATCAGTAGATCTGATCATTCATGCAGACTAGCATAGGAGAAATTTAGTGTCAATGAAGACTTGTCTGTCATGTATAGCAGTGATCCTCAAACTGTAGGGTGCTGCCTAGGGATATTTGGGGATGTGCAATGGGGCCTGTACCAGCCTCCACAGTGGGGCAGGGAGGGAGCACCCACTCCGGCTCTGTTCCCATCTCTGCTCACCTGCAGCCCACAACTGCAGATTGGTTGCAGCTGTGAGCCCAGCTCCAGATCTGCCCCCAGCTTTGGCCCTCATACTCCATCTTCTTTCCCCCACACCCTGTGAGCCATGGCCTCACTCCTGGCCCTGTCTTTGTGTGGGAGTGCAGACGGGAGTTCTCCATGTCTTTATCATGGCTATCTGATATTTTTTGGATGAAAGGCAACATAAAATGTAATTTGACTTATGTATACCTTCCACTAAAATGCAACAATTTGCCTAAAATTATAGACAACAAATTGTATGAAGGCAAGTTAAGAAATCAATTCTTCAACTGGAATTAGGAGTAGGTGGATAGTGTATAATTAGAATTGGGCTGTGGTCAGGAGTACTCCCACGCTTTTTGGAAAAGCTCCATGGACTCTTGTAATAAGTAATTACTGCCTCTTTGTATCTTAGTTAAAAGATACACTCAGACTTCAAGGTCAGAAGGGACCAACACGATCATCCCTTCTGACTTCCTGCTCGTTACAGGCCAAGATCTTGCGCTTCCACTCCTGAAATCAGTGGTGTAGCGCGTGTGTTTTGTGCCCGGGAGCAAAGGCAAAATGTGTACCCCTCAATCATGTTGCTTTCCACGGCGGTGAAGTCCAGCAGGAAGCTCTCCACGGGCTGCCTGGTTGCCTCGCTCGGCTCCCAGGTAGCCCCCACAGCTGCAGGCTGCTGCCCCCATTGCCTCCTGTTCTTCCTGCCCTCACCGCTGGGGCCCCAGTGAAACAGTCCCAGGAGCAGCGGCACTTGCATGGGCCTGATACCCATAGTGACCTGAAGCCACGTGCAGGGAAGGAATAGAGCAGCTGGGTACATGGAGGGGCTCTGCCCTGCTCAGCTGCAGACTGGCGGTGGCTCCGGGTCCCACAGGAATTAGTTCCAGGGGGTGGGCAGTGCTTCACAGGCTGTTTCCCCCATGATGGCCAGAGCTGTGGTCCCTGGCCTGGGCCTGCACCTGCTGTTCTGCAAGCAGCACAGGGTCTGGCAGAGGCCCTTAGCCCCACTCCAGTGAGTGGCGAGGGCAGTGCCTGGGTGTAGTGGGCTGGGGCTGGCACCTGGTGCCCGGGCTCTGTGGCAGGGTCCGGGGGCACTTGGCTTTTCTTGGAACATGGACTCGCATCTCTTCACAAACAATATGCCTGATAGAGGGTGACGGGGAATCCGCCAGGGGCACCACAGGTGTCAAGTGGGACGGCAGCTGGCCAGCCCCCACCCTGTCCTCCAGCTCTTGGGACCCAGGTGGGGGGCAGGATCCGGATTCTGCTCCATCAGCTCCCACCCCTGGTCCTGTCCAGTCTGGGCACTGAACTATGCAGCGGGTGCAGCAGCAGCTCCTGAGCCAGGGGCTCTGGGCTCCCAGGCAGGCCTTTCTACTGTATTTAAACTTTCAAAAAAAAAAAAGATACCTGGTGCTTGTCACTGCGGCAGCAGCTGTTCCACTCTCACAGGAGGCCGAGCTCGGAAGGGGGAAAACTCGTCCCCGCGCATGCCAAGCTTGGGGCTCTCGCCGTAGCCTTGCTGCTGCTGGGGCTAATGCTGCCCCTGCTGGCTCTCCTGGGTGAGGGGACACCGCATGCCCAGCTCCCACTTCTCTGCCACACCACTGCTCTAACCCAATGCCCTCACCCCTCCTGCAGAGCCAGTCACCGCCAGCCCTGCTGCTCCAACCCAATGCACCCAT